GGGGGAACCGGGCCCGGGGGAACCGGGGGGAACCGGGCCCGGGGGACGGGCAGGGCCGCCCGGTCGCTAATCCCGCCCCCTCACGTGACAGACACCCCCGGTGGGTTGGTAGACCCGCGGGAATCAATCACTAAACCCGGCGGTTGGGACGTCGGATCGATTGAATTAATAGTTCAGCGGGGTCGGATTAATTAATGGGAGCGGTTCTCGGTGAGAAGTGCCGAGCTAGGGCGGGGGGGAACCGGGCAGCCCCACCGGGGCTCCCCGTGCCCGGGAACCACAGGGGTGTTGGCAAAGCCGAGGCAGCCAGAGCAGCCCCTGGGGGTGCCCAGAAAACCGCCGGGCCCCCCGCTCTGCCCGGGGCTCTGTGGCCAGCGGGTCACACACAGTGTTTTGCTGTCCCTGGGTCCCTGTCCGGGCGGCTCTCAGCAGAGGGCGGCCTTGGCAAGCCCATGCACTGAGTTTTGTGTGCTCCTCAATGCTGTTCCGTGGCTCCGGTGGGTTTTATATCCAGAGGAAAGGCAGGAATTGCCCATCCCAGACACCTGCTGACTGGGGCACGGCCAGGGAGGCTCCGGGCCGGGGGGGGGGCAGTTAGGGCTGTAGAAAGTTACAGCAGTTGTTCTGGGAAAACTTCAGCTTGAATTTTAGCTGGTTTTTTTAAAGAGGAAAAAATAATAATTCTATTTTATTCTATTTATTCTGGTCTTTCATGAAAGAGACCTGGGGTGAAAGAGACCTGGGGGTCCTGGTAGACAGGAGGATGAGCATGAGCCAGCAATGTGCCCTTGTGGCCAAGAAGGCCAATGGATCCTGGGGTGCATTAGAAAGGGGGTGGTTAGTGGGTCAAGAGAGGTTCTCCTCCCCCTCTATTCTGCATTGGTGAGGCCGCATCTGGAGTATTGTGTCCAGTTCTGGGCCCCTCAGTTCAGGAAGGACAGGGAACTGCTTGAAAGAGTCCAGTGCAGAGCTACAGAGATGATGAAGGGAGTGGAACATCTCCCTGATGAGGAAAGGCTGAGGGAGCTGGGTCTCTTTAGCTTGGAGAAAAGGAGACTGAGGGGTGACCTCATCAATGTTTACAAATATGTAAGGGGTGAGTGTCAGGGAGATGGAGTTAGGCTTTTCTCAGTGATGACCAGTGATAGGACAAGGGGTAATGGGTGCAAATTGGAGCACAGGAGGTTCAAGGTGAATATCCGAAAACATTTTTTTCCTGTGAGAGTGACAGAGCCCTGGAACAGGCTGCCCAGGGAGGCTGTGGAGTCTCCTTCTCTGGAGACATTCAAACCTGCCTGGACACGTTCCTGTGTGATGTGCTCTGGGTGCCCCTGCTCTGGCAGGGGGGTTGGACTAGATGATCTTTTGAGGTCCCTTCCAACCCCTAGGATTCTGTGATTCTATGATTCTGTGATTCTATGATTCTATGATTCATGTAGGTGGTCTCTGCTTTTTTTGGTACAAACAGGCAGCTGCTGCGCTCACCTGGATACTCACACACCAGATGAGCTGTGCTTCACTCCTCAGCATCCACCTAAAGCTTCCAGGGAGGCTCCTTCATGTGTCTTTCCTGGATCACACATCTGAGGACAGTTATTTTATGGTATAGTAACATTTCTCTTTAGCATTTTCACATTAAATCCCGATTTTGCAGCATTTTTCAGACACCAGGACGAGCTTTTCTTTACATTGTTCAGTCTCAGTTGTAGCTGTTGAACTGTTTTACAGATTTGGTTTTAACACAGAGCAAAAACACAGAGCAGACACTCATTGGGCCTAAACTGTCCTTTGAAATCAATGAGTTTACAACGAATTACACCAGATTAGAATAATGTATTTCACTGAATTGCAGCCAACATGTCAATTGAACTAAGCTAAATAAGGGGAA